AGGGATTTCCACATCTGTGCAGAATGTAACCTGTGACAACAGTGAAATGGGCAGCTGGGAGTACAAGAGGCTAAATAAAATAGATACCAAAACCAGCAAGCCACAGAGGCGGGGGTTCATGATGACTGTGTAGTGCAGAGGGTAGCAGATGGCCACAAGTCGGTCATAGGCCATCACAGTGAGAAACACACTGTCCAGACATGCAAAGAGAAAAAAGGAGGACATTTGTGTTAGGCAGTCCACGTAAGTGATGGATTTGCTCTGCGTCTGTATGTTCACCAGCATCTTTGGGACGGTGGTGGAGATGAAACCAATGTCAGCCAAGGACAGGTTGGAGAGGAAGAAGTACATGGGTGTGTGGAGGTGGGGATCTGAGCTGACAGCCAGGAGGATGAACAGGTTCCCAGAAAGAGTGATCAGGTACATGGACAGGAACAGCCCAAAGAGCAGAGACTGAAGTTTTGGATCCTCGGAAACACCCAGAAGAATAAATTCTGAGACACCTGTGAGATTCCGTAGCTCCATGTACCTTAGGCATGTTTTGAAAAATAAGAGAAGAAAGATAAATAAAACAAATGTACAGAACAATGTCTGTATTTTGTACTTAAGACATTAATAAGTAAAGCATGTAAATTTACAACTGTACATACTTGAGATCCTAGTACCCCAGGACCTTCAGCACTATTACCCGGCTGTACTAAACCCAACTACTGTACTGCTCTGAGCTGTGTCCTCATTGTTTCTGTGCTCGTCACCTGTCTCCACACACAAGCACTGTAGAGACCCTCGTCTAGAAAATGGTGACTGGAAAAGATATTTCAACAAATCCATATAAGGAACAATATATCAGCCCCTTCTATGAAAACATATTAAAAAATACATGTCTTTCTTTTACGAAAAAATCTCATTCAATTAAAAGACATGAAGAAACACTAGCAGCTCCAGGGACAAGTGTTAATGCACTTTCAAAAGATGGGTCTAGTGATGTGCCTATGAAAAGTTTGTTATTGAAACTCCATGGAACACAGTTCTTCTGTGACACCATGTGGTTGCCATGGGTTAGACTCTACTCACTGGCAAACAGTTCTTTGTTGTAAACAGTAAAATGTACTTTATTTTAGGCAACTGCAGTACCGTGAATTCCTTTCCTTCCAAAATTCAAAAAACACAAAAAAGAATGGTTGTCATTGAGCTGTTACGACTCACAGTGAGTCCATGTGTCACAGAATAGAACCAATTCATAGGGTTTCCGTGGCCTTAATCTATAGAAGTAGATCACAAGGCTTTTCTTTCATGGCCCTGAAGGACTGGTTTAAATCACCAACTTTGATGTGTGGAATCAAGCTCATACTTCTGCTTCCCCCAGGGATCTCATTAACTGGATTCTAAATTAAAATAAAATGTTCATACTCAGGGTGTGTGTCTATACGTCATCATCTTCACATGTTTTCATCATTCTTTGGTTTTCTGACATTTATCTTATATGGAGATACACAGTCATTTAAATGTGTAGATTGTCTTTTAAAATCTTTTGGAATCTATGTCCTCTCCCTTGGCTTTAATGGACATCAGATTTTGATAACTGTGCCTTTGTTAAATGCACAAAATCATGCAGCATCGCTAATTCCAAAGATGACATTAGTGTCAAATGCACAAATGATTAACCTATAATTTACTTTAAAGATACACCCTGTTCTGTATTTTTGCTGTATGCATGTTATTTGCATCAATGCTACTGCGTCTCAGGGAAAAGTTTGAAGTTCAGTTGGCTATTTCCTTTGTTTCCATTCTCTATGGACGTGGTGAAATGTGCAGAAATATTTTTCATTGTAAATGATTGTTTCCTTATGAAATCAACATGTTCATTTACAGTTGAAGAAATTAGGACATTAGGACTATGGCAATTTTAAAGCCATATTTTAAGCCTAGACATCTTAGGCTTACTTAAGAGCCCAAGTCTGTCTTTCTTTACTGAGGGACTGAAATTCACTCCATTTCAACTTCCCCATGGCAACTCATTTCTTCATTTCCCTAAGTAGGTCCAGTTTTATTTTTCTTGGGGAAACATAAATATAGGGGATTAAAAAAAAAGGGCAATGTGAAATAGCACTTGGTAATGTATCCATTTTTTGAAATATATATATTTCAACATACACACACACACATACACATATACATAAACACATTAATAAACATATATATATATATATATTAAGCCTAACGTTAACATTTGTAGAAAAAATTAGATTAAATAATATTTATGACATGCTTACCCAGTTGTTCTCAATGGAAAATGATCAAGTAAGTATATAAAGATATTTTTAAATAAAGTGATGAGCTGGCTACAAATTGCTGTTGTAGTTGTTGTTATGTGCTGTCGAGTCAGATTCAACTCATAGCAACATTTCCTTGGGTTTCTGAGGTGATATCGCTACAGAAATAGATTGCCCAACCTTCCTTCCCAGGAGTGGCTGGTGGGTTTGAACCACCAGCCTTGTGATTAGCAGTCAAGTGCCCTAGGCACCATAGTTCCCACCAGAACTCCCTAGAGACCACTAAATCAGACTCTATATGTAAGTCCCTTGGTCATCCTGAAGTACAGGCAGGGTTGAGAACCGTTGCTTTAGATTATTGCCAGGCACTTAGTAAGTGCTCCATCAATGTGGCCTAATATTATTATTAACAGCCAGTCCTGACATTATGTATCATCTGGTTAGCAGTCAAATGCCTTAGGTACGATGCCACCAGAGTTCCCATGACACACACAGGCCTGCAAAAGTTCTCATTCACTACAATACTGTGTTTTAACTTTCTTTGGGAAGTTCATACCTCTGTTTCATACATTTTCAGTGGGGACATGGTATTACTGAGTAAAGGATCATTTTATTTGTCAATTTCTGATTAAGACCATCAGAGTAAAATTCTTATTCCCCTCTCCATATTACATAATGGAAAATTTCTAGATTATTTGCTCATGGAGCCTCCTATGTAAATTGATACAAGTTCAAATTTACTATTAATTGCCAAAGTGTGTTTACCAATAGACTGTCAGACACAACTAGATGCTTTTATTGCCAAGGTGTGAGAAATAGCCATGAAGGTTACCTGGTGATGGTTATTACATGATGGATTCATACAAATATCACCATCCTCCTTGGGAGTCTGGTGGCACAGTGCCTAAGACATTTGAGTGCTAAGCAGAAGGCTGGCAATTCAAACCCATCAGCCACTCCTCAGAAGGAAGACTGGAGAATCTACTTCTGTAGAAATACCGCCTCTGAAACCTAAGGAGGGGTCACTGTGACTCGACTCTGACTTGATGGGGTGAGTTTGTTTGTTTGTTTGTTTGTTTTTTGTAGTAACCACGCCATAAAATACATTACTATTCATGGAAAGCTCATGCTGCATTTTAAAATGTCCTTTAAAGTATTTGGCTCATTTTCTTAATAAACAGAACAAGTCACTGACTTGTAAGAGGAAGAATCAATGGCTGACTCACAATTTGGTCATTTGAAAAGACAAATAATTATTCAGCTCTGGTTGAGGAGAATAGAATAGAAATCAGGACAGCAAGTTCAAATTCGTATCTTTCACACTAAATATGGAGTGCCTATAAATCTCTCAACTTCTCTTAATTGGAAATAGAAGAATAATATCCATCAATACTATGCACGTGGCAGCTAACAAACGTTTGTTATTGTTACATAGATGTTAGGTGCCTTTCAGTCAGTTCCAACTCATAAGGACACTATATGTGTTGTTGTTAGGTGCTGTCAAGTCATTTACTACTCATAGCAACTCTATGCAAATGACAAAACAACACTGTTCTGGTCCTGTGTCAGCCTCATTATCCTTGCTATACCTTAGCCCACTGTTGCAGCCACTGTGTCAATCCATTTCTTTGAGTGCCTTCCTTATTTTATTGACCCTCCACTTTACGAAGCATGGTATCCTTCTCCAGGGAACAGCTCCTTCTGACAACATGACCAAGGTAAGTGAGATGAAGTCTGGCCATTCTTACTTCCAAGGAGCATGCTGGCTGCACTTCTTTCAGGACAGATGTGTTCATCCTTTTAGCAGTCCATGGTACTCTTATCATTCCCCTACACCATAACTCAAAAGCATCAATTCTTCTTCAGTCTTTCTTATTCATTTTCCAGCTCTCACATGTATATGAGATGATTAAAAATACCAAGGCTTGGCTTAGGCACACCTTGGTCTCCAAGGACACATCTTTGCTCTTCATCACGTGAAAGAGATCTTTGCAGCAGATTTTCCCAATGCAATATGTTGTCCTATGTCTTGACTGCTGCTTCCATTGGTGTTGATTGTAGATCCATGTCATATAAATACCTTGACAACTTCTCTCCTTGCTCCATCCACCATGAAGCTGTTCACTAGACTAGTTGTGAAGATTTTTGTTTTATTACTATTGGGGTGTGATCCAAACTGCAGTCTATAGTCTTAATCTTCAACAGTAAGGGTTTCAAGTCATTGCCACTTTCAGCAAGCAAATTTGTGTCATCTGTGTATAGATATTATTAGTGAGTCTTCCTCCAGTCCTGGTGCCATGTTCTTCCTCATATAATCCATTGCTTGGATTTTTTTGTTCAGCATACAAATTGAATAAGTATGGTGAAAGATTACAACCCTGATGCACTCCCTTCTTGATTTTGAAACGTGCATTATCCCCTTGTTCTGTTCAAATTACAGCCTCTTGAATATGTACTAGTTCCTCATGAGTACAATCAAATGTTCTAGAATTTCCATTCTTCTCATTGTTATCCACAATTTGTTGTGATCCACAGAATCAAATGCTTTTCCACCGGTCAACAAAACATAAGTAAACATCTTTCTGGTAGGCTTTGCTACAGCCAAAATCCATGTAACATCAGCTATGGTATCCTGCATTCCTGTCCTCTTCTGAATCCAGCTGGCATTTCTGGAAGCTTGTACATGACCCCATGTACAAGAGAACAAAAGACAGACTGGTACTGCACCATGTTCACAATCCTTGCTATCCTTGAGCCCGTCATTGCAGCCACTTTGTCAACCCCTCTTATGGAGTATCTTCCTTCTTTTTGCTGGCCCTCCACTGTACAAGAATATTAACCTTCTGCAGGAAATGGTCCCTTCTGATGATATGACCAAGTCTGGCACATAGTAAATACTTGGACATGTCAACCATGTTATTAATCATAACTTGAATCAATATGAGAGTAGTGCACTTATTGTTGAAATATAATCCAAGTGTTAATTTGATTATATAGGAAAGATAGAAGCCTAATATATCCCAGGAAATTTAAGCATAGGGTGTATGGAAATTTCCAAATGTGCCCATGTTCCCACAATATGATTTACTTGCGCCTTCTCTTATTGTTTTTCCTTTTTTTTTTTTTGCAATACTGCACAATCTTTGAAGATAATTGAGAAGTATACACTCTACTAATTATGTCCCATGAAAAATCCATAATATAGACACATTTATACTTCATGTTATCTTGTGTCTGGACCTATGGGATGAA